TATATTAACTCTGTCTTCAACCTTTACATCTATGATTAATATCAAACAAAAATGCCTGTAGGTATTTAACAAGCTTCAGTAATTAATTTAATTTGTGTACAAAATACATAAAAAGAACGTTCTCCTTAATAAACATAAAGATTAAGTATTAGGAAGTACAAAATTAATTTTGTTAAAAATATTCCCTTTCCCTTATGTTTTATATTTTTATTTATATTTGCACTTGACAAAAAGGTTTATCTATGAAAATTCATCCTACCTATTTTACTCGCCCTTATGCTGACCCACAAGATCTTCACACAGAATCACACAGAATGATTAAGGTTGGAAGGGACCTTGGGAGATCATCTAGTCTAACCCTCCCCAACACGCACAAGCATGGACACCTAGAATACAGGATTGCAAACTCTGGGCAGATTTTGAATATCTCCAGAGAAAACAACTCCGCAGCCTCTCTATGCAACTGGTTACAGTGCTCTGTCACCCTCACAGTCAAGAAGCTTTTCCTCAAATTCAGGTGGAGCTTGCTGTGCTTCAGTTTGCGGCTTTTGCCTCTTGTCCTATTGCTGGCCACCACTGAAAGAGTCTGGCCTCATCTCTTGACACTCTGCCCTAAAGTGTTTATGCACATTGGTAAGATCACCTCTCAACTTTCTCTTCTTTAGTCTGAACAGTCCCAGGTCTCCCAACCTCCATTCATAGGATAGATGTTCCAGTCCCCTGATGATTTTTGTAGCTCTATGCTGGGTCCTGCCCAGTAGTTCCATGTCCCTCTTGTCCTAGAGAGCCCAGTGCTGTACGCAGTATTCCAGACGCTGCCTTACCAGACTGAGTAGAGGGGGAGGATTGTCCCTTTAGCTGCTGACAACACTCTTCCAATGCACTCCAGGGGACCACTGTCCTTGACCACAAGGGCACTTTGCTGGCTCATGGTCACCTTGTTGTCCACCAGGATAGTCAGGTCCTTCTCTGGAGAGCTGCTGTCCAGAAGATCAACCCTCAGTCTATGCTGGTGCATTATTTCTCCCTAGGTGCAGGACTCTCCCCTTGCCTTTGTTGAACTTCATGAGGTTCCTCTCTAACCCATCTCTCCAGCCTGTCCAGGTCCCTGAGAATGGCAGCACAGCCCTCTGGTCTGTCAGCTACTCCTACCTGTTTTATATCATCAACAAACTTGCTGAGGGTACACTCTGTCCCTGCATCCAGGTTCATCCAGGTCATTGATGAACAAATCAGACAGGACTGAACACAGTATTGGCTCCCACGACACCAGTATCTACAGGCTTCCAACTAAACTTTGCACCACTGATCACAACCCTGTGAGCTCTGCCATTCAGACAGTTTTCAATCCACCTCATCATGCACTCATCTAACCCCCACTTCCTAAGCTTACCTATAAGGATGTTATGGGAGACAGTGTCAGAAACCTTACTGAAGTCAAGGTAGACAACATGCACTGCTCTCCCCTCATCTACCCAGCCAGTCATTCTATCAAAGAAGGCTATGAGATTGGTTAAGCATCATTTTCCGTTGATGAATCCATGCTGATTACTCATCACCTTTTCGTCCTCCGCATGCTTAGAGACAACAGCCAGGACGAGCTGCTCTGTCACCTTTCCAGGGATGAAGCTGAGGCCGACTGGCCTGTAGTTGCCTGGTTCCTCCTTCTTGCCCTTTTGGAAGGCTGGCATGACATTGGATTTTAATGAATTTTAATTCACAGCCTTCTTGTAAGTAACACACTCTTCAGAGTCGACCAGAGCATTAAAATCCTTGCATTTTTACTCCTTTTCTTATCCATAAAGTGTTTTTATAAAACTAGACCTAGATAGAAATAATATCTTTTTGTTGGCAGACTCAGGGCTTCGTATTAATAGAAACTAAGAAAAACTTCGTATTCTTTCATGTCAAAATTGCTAGGATATTTGCTTTGTCAATGTGGAAACACTTCCACTAATTGCTAGCGTTTTTGTTGTATCATTTTGTAGATAGAATCATAGAATGCTTAAGGTTGGAAGGGACCTCAGAGGACATCTAATCCAGGTCTTTAGATGCAGATCTTTAGACTTGTTTACTATTAATGTAGCACTTCTCCAGCCTTGAACCAGTAAGAAAAATCACATTGAAGAGGTCTTAAAATAGATATTTTTTACATATTATATCATTTATAATTGTATATTACAAAAAGTCATAATTTTCCTCTTCTTAGGTATACGGATGTCTAATTCCTCATTCAGGGATAGGCACCATGCAAGAGGCAAAAGGAGAGTGAGAAATAAGAAACTAAAAGGTTCAAATTCTTGCTTTGACATTTGATTCCTAGTACTGTATTGGATGACTCAAATAAACATCTAGTTTCTTATACTCTAAAAATAATGTTTGCATCACAGGGATACTAATGAAGCAAAATTCAGAGTGTATTCTAAAAATGTGCTGATATTAAGATAAATTATAATTATCCCAGTAACAGCTGGCATTTCGTTTTTATACAGAAAAGGTCCTTTTGAATAAGAGAAGAAACAAAAAGGCCTGTAACTTTCTCCTCAAAGACATGGTGAAACAGAGTCTCAGAGAAGATATAATTTCAGGGAAAATGTGCTTTTTCTCAATAATGTATTTTAGGAAGAGCTCATCAGCTCACTATTGTTGTTAGGTGGATGTCATATATAAAAGGGGTGTAGCTGTTCTTTAACTTCAAAAATGTGTTTCAGAAATTCATTATTTGCAACAGGTGTAGCTGCATATTAGTTAATAMAGTTAAGACTATGATAGCTGCATTCCCAGCTTGCTAAGGATTGCTGCCTTGGTGACAAGTATCCACTGTGCTGCATCTAGCATTATAACAAGTACCTGGGTTTTATGAAGCCACTTCTGACAGACTGCATGAGAAACTGGATTTTTGACAGCTTTGTGAATAAAATATCTCCTATGCATGTGGTATTGAATTTCACCCACCCTGAACCTGTAACGAGAACAATTCAGTGGTAGGAAAAAGGATTTGGAGGGAACATTTCCCTGACAGCCTGATGATAATTTTTCTGAGCGCAGCCGTTTTGGCAGCCCAGGTTTAGGGCTGCTGAAGTAAATCCCAGGGAGATAAATTAGGAGGCAGAACAGCGGGTGGAAGGATTATCCCATTGACCTCATGCTTACCCCTCGGCGTCACCTCCGTCTGTGTGCAGCCAGCTCTACCCATCCAGCCTGTCCCTACTCACAGGTGCAAAGAATCCAGGGATCTCCGTGGCAAACTACTCTCCCTTTTAAGCAGCCTGTACTTCCTGGCACTGATGTGGGCAGGTTTGCAATGCACCCTGTGTGACCCCAGCCCCCTGCAGTGTTGCACACACCTATTTCTCCTGCACAGTGGTTGCTGCCTGAGGATGGGGGGCTGCGCTCCGCAGGCTCCCCTCTCCCTTTTCCAAAGTTCAGACACTCAGTTGTGCTGGGAGAATTTTGTTCCTCTGCCTACCAAGCCATACCAGGGAGCTGAGGCCCTGGTGGGGTTTCATCACTGGCGTTTGCAGAATGCCTGCAGCAGAAGCATTAGGCAGTGCTATACAGAGCCCCCAGCACTAATTCACAATTCAGGAAGAGAACAGGGGTATATTCCAGGATAATAAGACCAAAGCTACAGCTAGTGCTGTAAAGCATTGATTTGCTGTAAATAGGTTAATGTGCCCCCTTCCAGCTGCATTAATACTTCTGCAGCATGTGCATTCATCTCTCTGAAAGTGATAAATGTCTCCTTAGCGCGCAGTGGGTATCAATGCAGTGGGTAAGTTTCTTGTAAGTGTGCCGTATTACTGTAAATTTTATGTGCAATTATTTTTGCCTTAGAAAGCATTCAGCATTGTCTGGATTTTTATGGGGAAAGGATAAGTTTGTTCGGGAGGTTAAGTTGTTGTGTTTTTTTTTTTTTTTCCTGACCAACCACTTAGTATCTGTCCTTTGCCTAATAAGAACTCGTGACAGTGTCATTTTTTTCACCATCCCCGCTGCTACCACCGTGTGTTCCTGAATCTACTAACCCTTCCTCGCTCCGTTTTTAAATCTTACGTAGAACAAATGCAGAAGCTTTTCATGGACCTTAGCTGGTTATGCCCTCTCATATCATGCAGGGCTACCTAGTGTCATTTTCCAATGATGTTATGGGTGATCAGTACTACTAAAAACAAACCTTCCTTCAATGCCAATCAAAGAAAGTTTTCTATACATATGATTTGTTTAGGACATCAAATCCGTTTCTTTCCAAATCTCAGCTGAAGATGCGTGTTTCTCCCTCTGCCAAAGCTGGCAGTTTTACTCACTTTCAGGGACTAAAACTGCCAACTGGTGAGTAGTGTGTGAAGTAAGACCTTACTTTTTAATTTCTTTACTTTTTACATCATAAACAGCTTGGATATACATTTTTCTGAAAAAGGCTGTGCAAAATGATGTTGTGCTCTTCTGTTCTGCTGTGTGGGATGCATTGCTTGARCTAAAGATATCCTAAAGATCAGGAGGCCCAAAATATCACCARGTGAATTTGCACATCTGCAGTGCCTCACTGTATCATGGCATTGCCACAGATTGTCATGATGCGAGYATTAAGGCATTCATTCCAGTCTGCAGTGGCAGATAGGGGACACCAAAAAACAGTAAAAGACACCAATAGTTATTCTTCCCTTCTCCTCCTCCTCCTTTCTGGCTTGCGTGGAGTGGGTGGCCGGAGAGCGCAAGGGAAAAGCGTGCCGTGTTTCACGTGCCACCCCAGTGCCCCACGCACAGTCGGCGCCGTGGGGCGCGCGGCTGCGGTYGACGCTGCTCGCTCCACCTGAGCCCAGCTGCGGAGCGCGCCAGGGAGACTGCTCGTAGTCCCAGATCTCCAAGGGAGGCCCCAGCAACACGTAAATTCAGGGTGTTTTTAAAATCATTCGTCATTATTGCTGGTCTGTGATTTCAGCTTTACTTTCCGCATTTAATTTTAACGCCCGGTAATCATGTAYGTTATATTTCTTCAGGTTATACTGTCTATAGAAGAAGGTTACAGGCTTCCAGCTCCCATGGGCTGCCCAGCTTCTCTTCACCAACTAATGCTTCACTGCTGGCAAAAGGAGAGGAACCACCGCCCCAAATTCAGTGATATTGTCAGCTTCCTAGACAAACTCATCCGCAATCCAAGCACCCTTCATACTCTAGTGGAGGATGTACTTGTGTAAGACTCTCCTCAGTACTTCTTGTTCGTGTAATCCGTGATGGCTTTCATTAGATGTGTCACAACATTAGGTAGGGGCGGGAGAGAAGGGTGGAGGTCTGAGCTTGTAGAGTTAGAAGGTTTCAGATAATTTTGTGGCTTGTTTTATTGTTAATGCATTGTTATGAAAGGCTGTTTTTTATGAAGCCTTATGGGTGGCATTAGGCGTCTTTTTTTTTTTTTTTCTGCCCCAAATTCTGTCTGTGAACACACTATCTACCATTAATCTTGGGGAATCTCCTTGTTCAGTTTTTCAGTGCTTCTCCTATGTGTTTGTTTTCTGCCTGTAATTTAAGTCCCCATGCAGCATGCTGTTTGACGGTGCTCGAGCRGCTTCTGAACTGAGTTAGGGTAATTTTCTGAAGTTATAGCTTAGCTTGCTCACTCTGTCTAGCTGCAGAGGATTTATCTAGTTGCAGTGGTGACCAAATAACAGATCATACTATTACTGTAGTAGGCACACACGCAAACACAYGCACATGCATATATGCAAACACATGTATATGTACACACACATATATATGTGCRTATGCACATGTGACTTCTTACTTATTCCCATGTCATTTTATATGGCATCAGAGTAACTGTTGATATTTACTTTTATATTAATACATTAATTACAATTTAAAGACTTATGCCTGTGCTGCAAAATCGAGTTTTTATTGAGCTTCCCTGCTTGGATAGGTTTTCTTGTTGCCTGGAAATGCTTGATGCAGATAATCTGAATGCTTGTTGTGTTGGTGATATTTGAATTTATCAGGTCAGCAGTTTTTCTGAAAGAATTGGAATAATTCTGATTGAAAGAGACCTTAGCAGGTCTTTAGCCCAGCCTTCTGCTTACAGTGCTTGTCTGTCATTTTCTCTCTCTATCATTTTGATACATGAATGAATATCAGTGTGTTTCTGTATTCCAAAGTGTATGGCAGAAGCTTAGCATGTTAGAGTGTATGTCTTTCTGCCTTCTGCATAAGCAGCATTCTAACAGTGTTGGCTAGTTTTTGCTTTGTCAATTTTTTATTTGATCGTTCTTCTAAAGACTGTAATGAAGCCCATGTAAGCAGCTATATGCCTCTTCTTCATTCTGTTCTTACAGTTCCTCTACACAAAATGTGCAAAGGTCTCGCCAGCACAATAAAGAATAAAAGACTGCAAACACATACCCCTAAATTGGATTTTTTTTCCATCTTTCAGTTTCAGTTGCAATAACATTAGGAGAAAGAACTGAAGCAGAAATGCAACTAAGTTACCTCTTTCATTTTTATTTACTACTCCATATAGTTCTGTGTGAAAGCAAAGATATAAAGCCTTGTTCTTTCTGCTTTTTGGGGTTTAGCTCTGTAGCTGTTATAATCAAAGTGTTCCCACTGCCTAATAGCAATAAACAGTCATCTGTTTTTCTTTGTAGATAAATGTAAACAAATCATCTTTCAGTGTGTTAATCTTTTTAAATTGTATCTACCTTTATCTCAGGTTAAACTTTGTTTTCTCTCTGCTTTGACTGCTGTATTATCCTGAAAGCCTAAGATCTATAAAGGTATAATCTGAAATAACAAAAATACAAACAGAGACATAGATCTGTTYCTCTGTTTGTCACTGAGCTGCAGTGCTTTAAAAAAAGATCCGATTAAGACAATTTTACAGGGTAACATACGATTTTTAAGTTTTAGACAATAGGATAAAATCAGTCTTTGGAGAACCTCAGTTAAGATCGACCTTTACAGTTCAGGCTCCTGTCCCATTCCTTCTGCCTTTTARTAAGAATATTGTCTGTGAGAGTAARTCAAGTGTCCTGTCTTCCCCTTCTCTGGTAACCTTTGCATGTTTCGCCTACAGAATGCCAGATTCACCTGGTGAAGTTCCAGAATATCCCTTGTTTGTCTCGGTTAGTGATTGGCTGGACTCAATAAAAATGGGTCAGTATAAAAATAACTTCATGGCAGCGGGTTTCACAACCTTGGATATGGTCTCAAGAATGAGTATTGAGTAAGTATTTACTGTATTATTCCTGTCATGGGTAATCTGGAATAGTTTGGATGCTACAGTCATAAAATGCTTATGATATATGGAACGGTGATTTCATTCACTTTCATAGGTAAGCTAATAAAAGTTACAGCTCTTATCAGAGCAATATAGCTAATAAAAGATATAGATCTTATCAGAGCAATATAGGAGAAAGATATAATTGAGACTAGACAATTTTATTCTGCAACTGTGCTATGCACTACCAAGCTGGGGCACTCAGCATTCGTATGGGTTTGGGGGGAAATCAGGTTTTGATCTGGATCACTGAAATTTTTTTTATTTTTTTTTTTTTTGGAGGCGGGGAGAACAGGTTTGGGGGGAAAGGACTGCCAGCCATTCTATGGTCTTTCATACAATAACCATCAATAGACTCTACAGAAGTTTGAAAAAAGGTTTATAAATAGTTTTATTACTAGGTGTCTTTTGCTGGTTGTTCCTCAAGGGGATTGTTTATTTGTTTTTGCCTGTTCTACTTACCTGTAAAAATGCAGGTAATTCATCATGCTTTCTAGTTTCTACTTTTTGACATCACTTCAGGTTTCTTTGAAAGATTCCTTCCTTCTTCAAATAACCTCTCCAACCCTATTCTTCAGGCATGTTTGCTTCTCTGAGCTTTATCTGGCCTTTCTTGATAGGTGGTATGCACTGGTGCTGCGTTTCTAACACTGACCCATTTGCAGGGGTTTGCTGTCTTAGCTGCCTCTCTTGGCTTCCCTTTAGCAGGTTACATATTTTTGCATAGTCCCTGCTGAGCCTAAGTGTTGTGTACGATCCCCCATATGGATGTTAAGCTTAAATACATAATAGCTGCAGCTACTCAGTGGCTCCTTATCTGCAGGACAGTCTACAGGTATCTTGAACTGCAAATCTTGAACCCATAAGGATCACACTTCATTTTGTGGGCTCCTTAGCTAGCTATACCCTAAAACAGTTTCTGAGGATATCTAAATAGGCAATGGTTATGTGATGCTCCAGTGTGAATGTGCACGATTGACAGGGCATAACTGCAATGTCCTGCCCTTGCTGCCTCTCTGATCTCTCTCAGCATCTTGCAGCTGGTGATATTTAGAGACCTGAGCTAATGGTCTGTGCTGGATGCTGAGAGCTTTTGATGTTGTTCTTCATAGAGTCACAGAAGCACAGAATCCTCAAGGTTGGAAGGGACCTCTAGAGATCATCTAGTCCAACCCCGCTGCTCACGCAGGGACACCCAGAGCACGGGGCACAGGGCTGCATCCAGGCGGGTTTGGAAGATCTCCAGAGAAGGAGACTCCACAACCTCTCTGGGCAGCCTGTGCCAGGGCTCTGTCTCCTTCACTCTTAAGGAATTTTTCCTTGAAAATTTGTTTTTGACAGCGCTGCGTTCTGTGGATGCACTGCTCACGTTGCAGGGCAGGGCTGGATGCGATGAAGGCGAATGGGGAGGGAGATCTGGGTCCAGTGGGTAGACTCACCGCTCTGCTGATCTTCAAACCATCTCCCGTGAGCGTTGCCCAAATTATCCCGAGCATAACCTCAGGAATCCCTGCCTCAGGGTTGCAAGAGTGAGTGCCTGAGCTCTGCTCCCCTACGTGTATGAGTGGGGAAAAAAGTGTTACTACAACCATACCCAATTTTTAATTAGGTTCTTATTCAGGCGCTTCGGTTCTTATTTAGGGTTTGGAAGAAGTCTTTACTGGTAATACCACTGCAGATAGCAATATTCTAACTCCAAGGTTTTTGTTTTTTCTTATATGATGGCCTTTAAAAGACAGGATTGGCAAATACACAAAACGACATCTGCACCATTCTTAGGTATCCCATTAAAGAAAGTAAACAGTCCTAAAGCGGGGCAATTCACCATACAATCTTTTGTGTGCATGAGGCTTTGCTTTACTTGCAATCCATGATGAAACTTTTTATTTTACAGTGACATTAGAAGAATTGGAGTTGTACTCATCGGACACCAGAGACGAATAGTGAGCAGTTTACAGACTTTGCGGTTACACATGATGCACATACAGGAGAAAGGATTTCATGTATGAAAAGTACTAGAATCAACTGTGTTTTGTGCCTCAGCATTTCTAAAATGGAAAATATTCTCATTCTTCCCTTCCGCTCTTCCCAGCTTCAAGAACTGCAGTCTCCTGTTCAGACTATAAAAAGTACTTCTAGGTCAATGCTTCCAAACGGGAATTTTTAATCACACTGCATAGTTCCTTCGTCAGTTATCTGCCAATAAAATCCTGGCCTACTGCAAGACTCTTGCTACACATTGATGAATAACTCAGCATGGATGTGTAACTTTGTATAACAGTTTTTGGGAAACTTTCATGAACTTATTTGAAAGTAGCAATCTATTTGGCCTGGCGTGGCTTCTTTATCGATGTATTTAGAGTTTGCTGGTAGATCGAAAAGTATTTGACTTCCTTCATGTTCTGTGACCATGTAACTTCCAATATCAAATGTGCAATCAAGGAGAAGTTTGACATAAATATTTATTTTATCTCTTAATTAAACCCGAATGTATGGGTCCTATCATTATATTACTTTATAACAGTTTAAATGCTATTAAGCTGCTGCCTCAAAATGTTAGAATTCTTTGCAAAAATGAGCGATGATTTCATCTAGCTAATTTCCATTGTATGATATGTGAGGATAGTGGGAAAAAAAAGTTGTTTGAAATCGTAAGGTCCTTGATTTCAGATTACTTTGGCACTCGACACTTTTTATGCTTTAAACTGTAGATTAAGTTTTTAAATTTGTTCATTCTTGGGATTTTTCCTCACTTGTTCTTCTTTTTATCACTCAGCATTTGCTTCTACCCTGTGGGAGATTAAGCCTGGAAAACTGATGACAAAGTTCTCTTAGCCACATAGAAAACATGGTTGTCAGCTACCCCGTGGCCCCATGACTTGAGAAGGGTTTCTCTTCGAAAAACACAGGCCCCCATTACTTGAACTAAGGGTAATCTCCATCAGTGGCAGCAGACCTTGGAGGGCCAGCCTTGTGTGGGGCGATGTGTTTACTCCCATAGCAGCAGGTCGGCCCTGCCATCCAGCTGAGGGCAGCGGTACGAACGCAAGCTGATGCTGAAAGTTACACTCCGTGGTATTCAGCTATCGTACCTATAGTACATGCAGGCAGAAAAGGAGACATAGGACAGCAGTGTAATAATGTGTTGCCTTGAGTCTACTTCTAACTGCTTTTAGAAGTAAAGCACAGACTCTGACAGAATGGAGTTCTGGTTACTACGGGCTAGATCTTCATTTAGTGCAAATACGTAACTGACATSGAAGAAAATTCTCTTTAGAACTCTTCAATAGCCATATTTACATGCAAGAAAACGGCTGCAAAGGCCTAACGTAATATTTGTACCTCTGTAAGACTTAGAGCTTTCACGTTTTCTTCCGATACCGTACGCAGATGTGCTGGGCTCCCTTTCCAGAGCTGTGYGTGGGATATGCGCCGCGGGGCCTGAGAGGGGAGCGCGTGGCGGTCCGCGTGCTGCGGTAGCCACACGCACAGCTCTGCTCGCGTGCCACGTGTGAGCCGGGCATCGATGCTTTGGTTAATTCATACACGGTTTGCGGGACTTCTGTTGAGCTACGTGGCGTTCCTATATCCGTGAGCATTTCAGATCTTGAGTTAAAATGTGCATTTGGGCAATTAGTAGGATAGATGTGTGTATCAAAATGAATTAACTGCTTTATGTAATCATAATGGTATTTACTGCTTAATTTACAGCTTGCAAATCAAAGTGTACTTCCTGACACTGGGAAAAAGGCTGTTGTGTACCGGTGGCAGAGAAGGAAAAGCAGAAAGCAACTCAGAAAAGATTATGCTTCCAACCAGTTCACAGAGCAAGACATGCTGGGCCTGATTCACTGTTGTCACTTTATGTTGGAATAACTTCAGTAATTTAAATAGGGTTACAGTAGAGAACTGAGTACATTTTCCTTTTTTTCCATTAAAAAAGATTTAACTGAGGAACAACTTTTCTAAAGAAAAGGATTCACAGGTGGCGACTGGATAAGCGTGTTTACAGAAGGGCAGGAGCAGCCCTACTCTAGCTACAAAGGGGGCTTCATCGGCACGAGTAGCGCCGCTGAACTCGGGAGGACTGCACAAGCGCGTGGGTTTTGCAAGATCACAGGCCTTGAGGGGAAAAACAGCCTTTGTTCTTTCCTGTTACTGTCACCCGGGACGTTCTGCCCCACTTCCACATCTGAACAATTTCCGGTAAGGGGTCTTGTTAAAAAAAAAAAAAAAAAAAGATTGTACTTACTTTTGAATCCTTTGCAAATAACAACATCAGAGGGTGGTGTAGACGTTGGTTTTTCATCTTCCATTTTGCCTGACAGTGTTTCCACAGCCATCTGTGGAAGAAGCCCCTCTGAYATTTAAATACATTACTGAGGAGGTAGGAGTCTGTTATTTGTTAATGGGGTCTCAAAAATGCTCGTAATTAATCCAAACCATATGTGTGCACTACTTAATTCTCCTTTGCACGTTTATTCATTCCTGGGAGTGTGGATGCAAAACTGCACGTCACATGCACACAACCGGATATGTTTCATGGAAAATGATTTCYAGATTGATTTCCAGATTTATCACCCTACTGAAAATATATTTTCAATAGAACAAATATAGTAACAATATTAAAACATTTATTAATCAGATATATTTTTTATATCAACAAGTGTTTGGGTAACCAGAAAGGAGCAAACAAGGGTTTCTTTTGGTGAGGACATATATTAAAAACATTGCAAATCCTCTCCTGGATTTTGTGCGTTTATATGGCTTGGTTTTTTTGTTCCTGTTGTTGTGCAGTATGACACTTTTATAATTGTAAACTTGATCAAATTTACATTTCCCCCATTTTGGAAACATTTCATTTTCTCTTGTTCAGCTTCCTTGCCTGCTYTTCTGTTCTATTCAGTGCAAACAAATGTGGAAAAACAAACAACTAGGGCTCTTTTTCTTCATTAAAAACAAAACAAAACAGGTGTTGTTTTTCAAATGTGTGTGTAACTCTGTGCAGGCCACAAGTGTATGTGTGAAATTACAGTAGCTTTCTTTTTTATAGGGGTTACTTTTTATCAGGTGAAAATTAGCTGTGTTTAGTCATCCTGCAGCTTGCATTGTACAGTTAAGGGTTCAAGTTTAACAAATGTAAGCAGATCTCCTAGGCCATTTTTCATAATGTGGACCACCTTCCACAGTGCTTCGTGACCAAGACTACTTGTTGAAAGTTTGCAARATAATGTTGGTGAGAGACACAATCCAAAACAGGCATTAAAATGYGGGCATAAGGAAATAGTTCTTAGTTGTTTACAAGTAATAGCCCTGTGTAGTCTTTTCCCACAGATCTGATTGTCATTCATGAAGAACAAAAATCCATTCATCTGCACAAACTCTTAAGCACTGTCTCCAGAATGCGGTTCAGGTGAGGACCCTGCCTGCCGAGCGGGGCCGGATCAGCTTCTCCTGGCCAACAAGTGCTCCCGTGCCAACCGCAGCTCTCCCAGAGCTGATGGCAAACACCTTGGATGGCCTTGCAACRGAGTGGGGAAATCATCTAGTATGGAAATAGGGAAACCGCAGCACTCGTCCTTACTTGGCATGCCCGCTTGTCAGCGAGCACCCTGAGAACTRCTGCGAGGAGATCTCCTCTCCTCGTATTGGAAGTCTGCTTTTAAGCTAGTCATCCGAGGCTCCCTTTGAGTCCATGGAGAGAAGTGGGCCTTGGGGGGAAGCAAGTCATCTGAAAAATTTAGTTGCTTAGTTTTGGATAAGTTTAATTCTGCCAGAGAAGTGCCTGTTTCTCCTACCTTACTGTGAAAGAGACCAAAGCAACTAGCTCAGATCCTGGTATCTGTGGTATGAATCTCATGTCTTGATTGTATCTCGTCCTTCTGCTGAGGCCCTGAAAAGASAGAGGACCTAGTCCCTAATGCTGACCTTAAAATTAAACAGCAGGAGGTTTAGTAGATTCAGCTTATTAGATGTTTTCAGATTGTATTTATTGAGAAGTAATGGGATTTTCRTGAGGTAAAGGGAATTGAGCTCTGTGGTCTAAATTTTTCTGAAATGTAAGCTGCCCTTTTAAATTCCGAGGTGCTTCAGTGCAATGGCTATTCAATGAAAGCTCAGCCACGTACTCTGCTTTATTTAAGACATCAACTAAGACTTGTCTATATAAGGCAATCTTTTAATTGCAAATGTATTCAACTATAAATTCAGAACAAATTAGTTGTTTTAGGTGAAGCATTCTGTGTCCAAAATTTTATTAGGTGATAGGTGGATTATTTTGATATATAGTGTATTTGGGGGTTTTGTTTGTTTGTTTTTGGTAATTTAAGACTAATAATTTGGAATTTTTGAGTATATTGTGAGTTTATTCCTGGGCTCTATTAAGTTTCAGTGCAGCTTCATAGAGGGTAGAAAGGTGGATCATAAGTAACACTCAGACTTCCTTTATAGAGATACGGCAGAGATTTACTAGGTGGAACAGCTGGCATTGTGGAGGTGCCTAGTAAGAGCGTATTTACCACAGCAATTTCTGTGTTAGAATGACCCTGTGGGACTATTTCAGCAGCCAACTAAAAGCAGCGCAGAACATCCTCTAACTTGCACCGAGGGCCGGTTACTGAATTTCAGCTGGCCCYTCTGCAAGTAGAAGCACGTGTACAGCTATTTTAGCTTGGCTGATGGAGTGGTTCCGGGGGACCCATTTTAGCAGCTGGGAATTATTCGTAGGAACATATGGYAGAACTGAGCCTACCCCTTCATGGACTCAGGCAGTCGTGGAGTATGTTCTGCGTAGCAAGGGAAGGAAATAGTAATGAATGTGGCTGCAGGAACCTTATCAATCCAATCCGACACATCTCTTAGAGTAACAAAAGGGAGAGTCATAATACAAGGCTATATTCTATTGCATCCTCCAGAAAAATACTTCAGTGGAAATATGCTTCACTTATCATAACATCTGTGCCTATTTCAAAAGCACTGTATTCCGTTAACCAGTTTTCTTACAGAAAATTCTTCCCTCGTTCACCTAATGATTGATCTTCCTTAATAAAAGGCAATGGTAATCTCTTTTATCAGACTTTTCTTTTGAGAACAAGAGAGAAATTTCTTAGGTTGAGATAACGTGGAGTAATACAGTGATCATGAAATCTCCAGGAGAGGCAACAAATCCCATCTCTGAGAAGGAAAAAAGTCCCTAAACACTAGAATAACATCCAAAAGGCAGAACGGTGCTTATTGTGCTAGAGAGCTATAAAATAAACAAAAAAGTTGCACAGGCCAATTTCCTGCATTCAGAGCTCACAAGTACCTTCTACCATCCTATGCTACATCTGGTAACTCCCACTGCTCATCCGTGAGCGCTGTGGTTCTGCATAGATCCTTAGAACAGAGGCCATGCCATATTGAGCCCCTTATGGATATAGAAAGTGTGTGTATATATAAAGAATTGTATAGATAATATATATTGTATAGATATCATAATGCCTGGGATTTTCCATAGCTACAGAATTTAATAATGTAACTCCCAATAATGGTAATGAGGTTTGATTGCACAGCTGGCTTTGAATTGCTTTAAGCAGCATGCACTGTGTGCACATAGTACTCCCCAAACTGGCTTTAAGCAGCATGCACTGTGTGCACATAGTACTCCCCAAACTGGCTGGGGACAGGCTCTCTTTCCTGCACAGGCAGAAAAGAAAAATGTTTTCCAAACCGTCTTGCAGGAAGCTGCCCGGTCACCTGATCCTTCTCATCTAATGCCACCACACCAGTGCTTTCCTACCAGTTCTTTCCCGTGCACCCAGTTCCTGTAGAAAGCTCTAGTGATTGCAAAAGGGAAGAGAGCTGCCCATGAGCCAACATTGCTATTAGAATGTAATCCATTCCATAAAAACTTTCAATCCCTCTGCTGGCATTTAAATATCTTAGTATGAAATCGTTTTATTTTAAATATCAATTCATAGGCTCTTAGGAGGTTAAGCAAGGGACATTTTCAAGGGGAGTTGAGTGAGCTTATCCCAGTAAATGCTATGTGTTGAATTTTAGAAAGGAAAACTGGCAAAATACATTTAATGAAGAAACATGAGGTTAAAACAGAGATTAGAGTTAAAATATATTTCCATATCTTACATATGAAATAACAATTCACACAACAAGATCTATTTGTATGTATGTTTCCCTCAGTATTCTACATTAATATCTTTTACACTTTTTCTTCCATCAAGGGACTTCTCAAGCACATCTTGTTTTCCACAAAGATTTAGCATATTATCTTTTTTTTTTAATATCTGTATTATATGACAATTTATGATGACATACTTTTGGTTTTATATTAAGTAATCTTGAAAATATGATCTTCCCTTCGTAATAGCTGCTTTAGTTATTTTCCCCTTTGAACAAACTCTGTTTTCTATATCTAGTGCATTATGGTGTAAATTCTGTGATTCTCATTTACTGAAAGGCACAATAGCAAAAACATGACTAATGTCCTCCCAGTGGCTCTGCTTCCTGGACTTTAGTAAGTCCGTATTCCAGAAAAATCAGCATGCTCTAAAATTCCCAAGACACACATACGCTTCATTTTAAAATTTACGGCCAGGATTCTGCCTCTGCCTCTCCCCAAGGAAGTGCTGAATTGGCAGTGTTGCATTTTTAAATGCCATTCCTTCTTTTTTTGCAGCAGTTTCTTCTTTTAACTTTTCAACTTTTCTAAAGTGGAGGTCTGTTTCAGAGAAGTGTGGGGAAAAAAAGCTGTTTCTAGGTTAACCCTGGTAATGGAAATGGATTCAGTCAGTACTTCAGTGCAGGTTTTTCTTATCTAAAGCCTTGGGTCCTACTTCTGTTGAGGTCAATGTAAAAATTCCCTCATTGTTTCTGTCAACTGGATTACACATGCTGATGCCATGACTGAGTATCCCACAGATTGGCAAAAAGGGCTTGTTCTGTTTTGGCTCAGTCCAACTTCAGCTCCCGGTGACTTCAGCAGCAACAACAACAAGTACTCTAAACGTCTCAGGATTGTATCTGCAATTTATCAAAGATAAAGAAAGGCTTAAAAAGATCATGTGAAGTGATATTTACTGAAAGGCAATATATTTTCTTCTAGCAAAGCAACCCTCATTGATCAAGTTGGCATAGATTATTTTGCTTTTGTCATCAGCTTTGTAAACTTGTATAACAAACCATCTTCACATGCAGAAAAGATACAAGGAAAAATATTTGATAACCTTCCAGAAATTCACTTTGATTTTCTCTTGGAAGACAATGTGGCTGGTATGTTTTCTCAGGATAGCCTCTATTTCTGTGTATTGGTTTTAAACGTAAATGAATAYAAAAAGGTTTTAATCTCTGTCTCTTCTGTGAAATTAGATTGTACACAATTAAATATGACTGCTCTTCATAGTTCGCTGTTCTAGCATAGCCATAAAATGTATCAATGTMTGTGTATATAGGAATATTTGATGACCGACACTTATATATTTAAGCAGCCATGTCAGAACTTTAAAGGTAGATGGCTTCTGAAGTAACAATATAATCATGATAATACTTGTGAAGTATTTTACAAACAAACCGTGGCCTCAGCACAGATCTTGTATCCGTATCAGTCTTCTGAAAACCACTTTTTTTYGCTGAAGACCCCAGATAACATTTGTGTTTTGCAATTGCTTCCTCTTTTCGAGATATGTTTGAATAATGACAACTACCTGTAACAACAACCCTCACCATTCATCTCACAGAAAAACAACCTTGGTACGATACCTCTAAGTTACATATCCTCTTGGTCTGCGACTTGTGTAGCATCGCACACTGCAAGCAAGATCTACTCATTCTGAGAGACTGACCATTTCACAGCTGGTAGAGTTGTTTTCCCCCTGGGACTGCCTCACCATTCGGAATGACTTTTGTTCATGTAATATATCTCCCRTATCTGTTACAAGTCCATTTTTCTTTCTGTCTTTCAGCCAGTTTATGAGAGTTGGAATAGCCATGACACAACGAGCTTAATATACTGATTTGCAGTCCCAAGAGGAATTTACTTTAGAAGTGAAGTTGTTCATATTTACTGAAAAGTGGTGATATCATTTTTTTAAATTCTATTATTATGATACTCTGATGTTCCATGTAAATTTTCATGTGCTGGCATGCCTACAAGTTAATAGTGTAATAGAATGCTCAGCTCTCAACATTAGGATGTTTTTAAGGTGAATTGCATTACATATGCCATCTATTTGCAGAAAGAATATGGGGTTTGGCAAAGCTACCTGCTGAGCAACATAATAAGAATTTTGTACAAAGTACAAGTTACTGATTATTATTGTATTTTATTTTTCTATGATTTCCTAAGAGGCATTATCAGGTCTTACAGATGGGGTAAGCCTGTTTATTAAGATATTTATTAGCAAATAAAAGTTACAGTACTGGTGGTTATTTCTGAGTTGATGTTTTTGTCTTGCCTTAATTTAGGGATACGATCATATCCAGGGAAGTCTGTCATAGAGGATCATCCAAAACAACCCTTAGTTGCTCTGAGTTGTTAAGGTGCCTCAGGGTTTTGGCATGGGTCAAGTTGCAGCAAAAGAACACGTGGCGCTCATACATCTACCACTTAACATTTATCACTGTAGTTTGTAATACTGTTCACTCTTGCGATCGTTCAGGGATCCACACAGCTCCTTCCATGCAACAATGTCTCTGCTGTTTTGAAAACTCTCACTAAAATGTATGGTTTTATAACTGACCGCATTGTTTAAATAATGCCAAGGCAATGCMCAGTGATTCACCAGCAAGTAAAGACCACCAAATAAAATATACAGCCTCTACCTCGTGAGGTTTAAAATGTGAGATTTACAATTCTATGCCGTGATGCTGTGCTTAGCCTACAGGAGCTGTCCTCTCCAACGCCAGTTACTGTAATCATCTAGGCCACAGGCTGGCTTAGGCTTTCCCTCTACACTGCACATCCACCCGGGGCCTGCTTAGGAACATGGATCCCTGCAAACGCCTGACCCTGCTGCCTTGGTCTCTTGTTGGCCAATGTAGGGCTTTTCTTTGCACAATTAACAGTAATCACCAAGCTGACTAATCTGAGCGCTCCCGCTGTAGCTCTGCTACAAAGGAAAGCAGCCCAGAGAAGCCCTTGCGTATGCGCTGGATGCGCGCACGCAGCCCGTGTGCGGCAACGCGCCTCCCGAGCGGCCGCCGCTGGCCGTTAACCGCTGGCCGGCCGCCGCCCGCAACGTGACCGTTGGGGCCCGCGCCAGGGGGCGGGGCCTCAACCAGAGGGGCGGGGCTCGGCGGGAACGGGGCGGAGCTCCGGCTGAGGGCGAGTCCGGCGGAAGAGGCGAGGCTGCGGCGGCGGAGGCGGGCGGGGGCGGGGCTTGGCGAGGGGGCGGGGATTTCCCCGGTAACGGCGCGAGCGGCGGCGGTTGGTGGCGGTTGGGGCCGGGCTGGGTGGCATCTTGCGGGTCGAGGTGCGTGCTGCGGCTGCGGGCTCCGTGCGCGCGGAGCTCTGCCCTCCTTCCCCGCAACCCTCCGCTGCCGGCCCGGGGCTGCTCGTCCTCCCCGGAGGCTTCGGAGCCGCCGCTGCGGCGGGGAGGCCCCTCCTGCAGGCCGAGCTCAGCAGCCGGCTCGCCCGCCCTTGGCGCCCCGGGGTCTTTCCGACTCCGGGTCTCGCTCAGAGCCTGGCGGGCGCAGGGCTGCTCTCTCGCTTGCTGTGAGAGTGGTGGGTCAAAAGGACCCCAGTAGTTGGAGTTTTAGATAGTACTAATCTTAAAGGGCCTCTTTAGGGTGGCCTGGGCAGCTCTGGTATCTCAGCGTTTAGTGTAAATAGTTATAAATCACCTGGATAATTTAGGCAATCCAACTCAGCGGAGTTTGGAATGGCATCTYTAAAGACTGCCTGGCCTGATCACTTGAAAACTCCAGGTACCCCCTTTGGATAGCACATGCTTCCCGCTGATAACCAGGGAGGTGGGCTGCGATGCAGGGCTCGGTAGTTATGGAAAAGAGGTGGCAGAGCTCGGGCCTCCATTCCTGGAGCCTCTGCAGGACTGTGTGTCACCTGAGGCTGTTGCACAGCCTGGTTAGTCACTGCTTTACTAAGAAGTGCCTATGTGAGCAGCTTGTCTTCCTTGAGAGTTTCACAGCCTGGTTAGTCACGGTGAATATCAATCGTTGATGCCTCAAAGAGACTTGATGTAGAGTGTAGGCTCTGATGTCGATTCATGGAGTTCGGGAACAAGGTATTTTAGCAAACTATTTCAAATAATTTAAGAATGAACCTAGCATTATACAATATTTACTGTCATAGCTTAAGTAGTAGTTGGCGAGAAAAGAATCTTATGTACTTAGATGCAAGTTACCTCARTGACAGCATCACCTGTCATGTCAGCTCAATGCAAATCTGGTTTCTATTGAAATTCCTATGTTTCATCTAAATTGCTTTCTCAAATGCTTGCCTTTTGAATTGAATATGTTTCATTTGTTCCAGGGAGCTGATCTTTTCACCTGTAACTCAKTTTTAGCTGAGGAGAGGGCTAACAAATCCAAAGTAATTTTTYGTCTTGGCATTTGTTATAAGAGTTTTTTAGGAAAATGACTGTAGTTRATGTGTTGCTAGAAAGTGTTTCTGGAGAATGTATTTTGGGCTTGGGTTTTAAATGTGACCTAGAAGCATCCAACAAATATTCACAAATGTGAACAAGAAGCATCCAATTTTTTTGCTCTTCTATTGAAGAGTGTCTGCAAGATTCACTCCTTCCCTATATGGTGGCCTCTTTTCATCTCAACCCTCAATATAGTGGATGAACTTAAGAGATCAGGGAGATGCCATGCTCCCTTCAGGTCACTATTTACCCCCTTTTTTCTTGAGTTACTTTGATTCATTGAGAGAGAAAGTGATGTTATGCATAGCCTAGTGTGTTTGGGCCTAGGAAAATGAACTGTAATCTCTGTTCTTTCAGAAGTCTTCCTGCTACATTCAGGATATTCTGTTGTCATCAACTTTTGATTAGCAAAAAAAAAGAAGAGGGAAAAAAAAAAAGAAGCCATTTCTGAAGACATTAGCAGTGCTTCTAGTCAAAAACTTGTAATGCTTCGGCACTTCTTTTATTTTTTTGAAATACGTTTTTGCTCAGCCATTTAATAGTTGAGTGATCTCCCCATTACAGGCTGTCACAAATCAGCTTAGAGGAAGGTACAATGAAAGTCAGCATTTCCTATTGAAAATTTGGTAATAAAATATTTGTGTCCTGGAGATGTTTTATCCTCTAGAATATAGTTCACAGTCTTAGTTGTGCAGAGGAGAGTGTGTTTCAATTAAAAAAAAAAAAAAAAACCACAATTCTTCTAGCAATATTTCATTGAGTGTGATGCAAATCTTTGTTTTCAGCTATATGATTGTTTAAGGTATTCTCAGCGCTAATCATTTAGAATGGACAAGAGTTGTTCTTGCAAACCGTGCTCAGTTAGGTATTGTAAGAGAGCACAATCATTGGAGTGAGCTCCCTCCCGTGTGTTGCTGCCGGGTAGCTTCAGTCAGACAGCTTCTGGGCAGGAATAGCAGTTTGGCTTCTACCTGACCTGCAGCTGAGTGTTACGTTGTCTAGCCTCGTATCCCTTGAATCTGTTATAAGCAGATTCTACTTTGAGTGAGCGAGTACCTAATTTGTATGTGTTAATATCAGCAAAGCTGGTACAATTAGCTGTTTCAGTTGAATTGACAGACCAGATTTTATTACAGTACATCACTTAGCAGGTGCTTAAAAAAGGCAAATACTGTGTTGTTTTGTTTTCTAAGTTATAACTATTTCTGACACTTTGAACAAAAATGCAATTGCTTTTTTTTTTTTTTTTTTTTTTCTCTTTTTTTCTCCCCTCTCGTTTTCAGTGGTTGGTAAGGAGATGTCATAGTTGTGCTGTTATTTGGAATGCTTAGAGGGATGCCAATACTGTTGCCCAGTGCCTCAAGGACATTGGTTATATAGACAAGGCTATAAACAGACAATCTACTTTTGTCTCAAGGCTTCTTCGCTATAATCCGCTTATGCTCCATTTACTTAGTGTACCAGGCAAGCCTGCTGTGGCAGTGTTCAGACAGTGTCTTATTTATACCCCTCTTTTAAAAGTTTAAGGACTTCTTAACACATGCCCACCTACTGTGCCAGCACCGCTGCACTTAGAACAGTTTTTGAATGGTTATTTCCTTCTCTCATCTTCTGAACAGGTGATTTCTGCGTATTTGGGCAAGAATTATGGGATTGTTTGACAAGCTAGCAGGATGGCTTGGGCTGAAGAAGAAGGAAGTTCATGTTTTGTGCCTTGGTTTGGACAACAGTGGCAAAACGACAATTATAAATAAATTAAAACCTTCAAATGTGAGTAACCTGCTTAATTCCCTGCTAACTTTCTTGCTGCAGAGTTGATGCTTGTTTCAACCGTTTTTACATGCTTATACACTAAATCTGACTATGGACAAGTGCTGATTTTTTGGCTTTTTATTTATTTCATGCAGTAGAAAAAATGAATAGAGTTCTGAATTAACTAAAGCTACATGTAAGCATGTACATGCATATTATGAAAACTAAAACCAACATYGCTAATGTGGTAGTCTTTTTAAGATTGCACAATAAGGAAGGGTTTATGATGGCTGAAATTMGGGTCTGGAACTTTCTTAAGTCACTTAAATGGTATGGATTTGCAATTACAATATATGTGCCAAACATTAGATGAATGCAGTTGTATAACAACCTGTCCTTGTCTGTATTTATTAYCATTTGCTATAAGGTCTTACCAAAATGTAATTAGTATATAATAAAAATAAAATAGAAAATAGTGAGAGATACAAATTGAATTCAACATTTTGAGAGTAGGATATCTTTCAAAGCAGTATTGGTTACACTTGCAGATCTTGAGCAAAATATAAAGTAGCATTACCTTGCTTTTAAGGAACTATTTTAACAATTAAAATTGCTTAAAGAATGAGARTAGATCAATTTCTGAGGCCATGCCCAGAGACAGAGGCTTGTTTCTCTCCATTATATGCATTTGAGAGACTGTTAAATTTTACTGTTTGTAGGAGGATGCAGCTTTTGTTCATTAACTTTCATTTTTATTTTATTTATTTGTCTGTAGAGTACCCATGGACATAGTTTAAAACTGGAACTTTAGTTGGAGAGCCTGCTACTGTTCACTTCCTAAGAATTATTCTTCTACTGAAAACTAAATAGATTTATAAAACTATCTGTTGCTAGTTGATCAAGGAAAAGATACAATTTGAATTGGGCAAATAATATACATATATATATTTATATATATGTATTATATCTTTTCAAAACCTTGATTATAGCAAAGTTTTGTGTCGTGCATTAAACAGCAAAAGATTCAGAGCTAGGGTTGAATATTTAAAGATTTATCACAATGATGGGTATAGGAGAAGGTCCCAAGAGAATTATTCAAGTAAAGAAAAAAAACATACTTTCGTTACTGCAAATCATGGGTATTTATTTCTGAGTATTTTCAATTAATCTGTTGTTCTAGGAAGGTCACTTTGCATACTATTTGTGTAAGTCCCACCCTTGCAACTTGATGTTCCTAAGAACTGCTTCTTGGCCTTGGGAGTGATACATTAGTTAACTGGCAATCAGTGTGTGCTTCCATTTTATTCTCCATCTGTTTGCAGTTACCTCTGTCAGGTCTGATAAATAAGTTTGAAATAAATGTTAAAGAAATAGCACCTCTTTTACTTCGCACAAAATTGTCACTTGAAGACAAGAACTGCTGACAAAGCTGATTATGATTCCTGAACTACTTTTTCTTGTGATGAAGCTGCAATGAAACAAACTAAGCTTGTTTCAGTTGTGTATGAGGAGGAGGAAGACACATAGATAGTCCTTGTAATAAGAGGCTGTAGAAAGTCTATAAAAGGGATTTTATGATACTTTGTCAGGCAGCTTTATATAATCTGTGGAATGTGCATTTTCTCCCTGCTTTGTATCTTTGCTCCTTAAAGAAGTTGTTTTGTTGTACCAACGTGGCTGATGAGCTGGTTTGCTGGCACAACAGTAAGCCTAGTTCTGAGTCGCATCTATTAGTAAAGCTGTATCTTTTGGCCTTCCTTTCTGGTAAATGATGATTTCCTCTAGTGATCTGATAGTTTTTATAGATCTCTACAATGAGGCCATTGTGTTATCTCTGCTGTTTGCTTTCCAGTGTCAGATGGATTCCTTTTGGTTTGAGTAAGGCAAATCTAGTGTATTGATAGACCTATGTCCCTTTTCTCTAAGAAGCTTGGGATACTTCACAGTGTCAACCCAAACAAARCTGTCATCTTCAGAGTGCAAAAATACTTGGATGTCAGTGGTAACTCTTCAGGCTATCATGTTCCATATTAACATATCTCATATTTATTTCATAGGTAGTATATGCATGTGTACACAACAATTCTAGTGTGAAAGGCAGGAGTTTTAAAACTGAAATGTCTTCCACTCTTAGGTTTTATCTAGTAGTATCTCCCCCTTTTTTAATCTAAAAAGTACCAGACTTTGATTTTGAATTATGGTACTTTTCTGGTAACTTCTTTAATACACAGTATCTAGATTTCTAGAAAGTTTGTATTGCACTGAATGCACTGAATGTGGTGGGGAGTGGGGGGAAAGATGTATAATGTATTCATGCTTTTGCATAGATGTCTATATTTAATGTTTASTAGCTTGAGTTTAAAGTATTTACTTTTTTTTTTTTTAAAGGCTCAAACTCAGGACATAGTTCCAACAATAGGGTTCAGTATAGAGAAATTCAAGACATCCAGGTAATATGGCCTCTTTAATTTGTTTATTTTAACAATAAGCCTGAATATACATGTAGTTGGACTTATTTTTCTCTTTCAGTGTGATGCTATTGAGTATAATGTGTGGTGGTGTCAGGAATGTCATTCAGTTTGCTGTTTGAACTAGTGTAGTATCCAGGTGTCCTAATAGTGGCATTCAGGAGTGGTAGTGTTAGAACATGTTTAATGTTATGTGGTGCTATAAAACTGTGTGTGGAAAAGCAGATAGTGTACAGGAGCATCTGATTTCCCAAGGAATTTAGGAATCAGGCACTTTTAGAGGCTTGAAGAGGGATAGTTGCTTGGAGAGTAGCCCATATTCCATTAAGCACTGTCACTGGAGAGATTCTGAAGAGATTGCAGTCTAATCTAATTAAATAAAAAATAGTGTTTACAGCCTCAGAAGTATAAAGATGGCAGGGGCAAAGGTCAAGAAAGGGAAGAGGAAATTATTAGTTGAACAAAAGCTGAGCTATAAGAAAAGCTAGGATACACAAATGTGAAGTGATGAGACAAAGGTGTTTGAAGGACATAATATTAGATATTTTAGTTTTGTAACTTCACAATATATTTTTAATGGGCACAGTCAGGCTTCAAACCAAGCAGCATGCCCCATTGGATGAGAGATCTGTAAGAAAATGTTTTTCCCTTGAGCTGACATGTAAAATTGATAGGTATTATATCTRTTACATACTCTTGTCATAAGAAGAGCCTGAATGAGAGCTTACTTCATATTTGATGTAATTTTATAACCAACTTAATTCTTGTATGCAGAAAATAYGCAAACACTATACATTTTTTATTGTGAAGTCTTTCTGTAGAAAGACCACAAAACTGGATACAATTTCAGGTACAGTACTAGTGTTCCTTTAGGAATCTTTTCTGTTTGATTAGAATTCAACCTTTTATTTTTTTTTGTTTTATATTCTGTTTTTACTTTGCTCCTTTTCTTGTCAAGGTAACAGATAATACTTTGTTTGCAGTTTTGTTCTTTGTTTCCATGCTTCATTCACTTTTTATTCACTTTTTTTTTTTCTTTTTGCAGTTTGTCTTTCACAGTATTTGATATGTCAGGCCAAGGCAGATACAGAAATCTCTGGGAACACTACTACAAGTAAGCGTATTGTTTATCTTATTGTTTGTTATTTATTGTTGTTCATGTTAACTGACATAAATGTTATTTAATCAAAGTATGGTAATACCTAGTGGTTAGAAGTGATTCAGAGAATACTTAAGACTTGGGTTGCACAGGGGGTCATTCTGTATGATCACAACTTTTCTTTCTTAAGAATGAAAATTTGGACATGTTGTTAACCAGAGTTCTTCAGGGACTTCTTGCTAACCCAAATTTTGAACATACTGGTGATGAGATATATGTGTTAAAACAAAAAAAAAAATCCATCTTGGAAGCGGGGGGGAGGGAAGAAAGAAAAAACCCTGTGATAAGCTGGGTGTCTTACAGGAAGAATAGAGAATAGAAAGGTATGTGTCATTTAGGACSCCGACGATGTTAACTGATGGCTGAGATTAAGAGGGAAGGGAGATGCCTTAGAATATAAGGCATATGTAACCAAGAACCCAACTAAATATTCTATAAATGTTATTTAATAAGCAGGATATTCACTGTACTTCTACCAATAAGTAGTACCAATATGATAGTATTTAGACGTCACTTGATCCGATTTACTTCTAATAAGCATTTTTGTTGTTTGATTATTATTCTCTAGGAATACCTGTTGTTGACCTAATTAAGGTGAACAGCACAATGAATTCCATAGAAATAGCTTGAGTTCTTTACCTTGAATATTTTAACATTGCTGCTTGTTTCATGTGACAATGTAACTTTTACTCTGAGATCTGTCATCTTCTGCTATAGAAATGCATTAATACGCAACTTGTATGAGGAAGACATTTTCAGAATTGTTCACAATTGTTCACAAATGCATCTCTCAATTTGCATTTCAGTGGCTGATTTCCATAAGGTGCTCTCAAAATGCTAGTTAAAATCATTTAACTGCAGTGACTTATCCCTTGTGTGCCATAAACTGCTTTTATCATGTTCATGATTTTTCTAAAAGGGAATTTCTTGGRTAGTGCTGGCAGTGAAATGTGCATTTTATCCACTTTTCTGATTCAGTGCGGTAGTCAAATATCTCAGTTTTAACTTAGCTAAACATAMTATAGGTATAAAGATGTACTATGTTTTGGTTATAAAGTTAAGCAATAATAAGTTTTACAATTGCAAAATTCCAATTAAATCTTACCAAATATTTGGGTATAAGCAGGTGCTTGAGAGTACTTAAAACTGTTCTCCCTTTTAACTTGAAACTATCTCCTATGTTATTGTCAAAGTTTGCTTCTCTTAAAGATTTTTAAGCTTATGCTTATGCTCTTAGCTTTGCAAATATGTGACAGTATTTTGGGGTATGTATGTTTACTAGAATTCTTGATACTTCTGTAGAAATGTTGTAYATTCATGAAAATTGTTTAGGCATTCTCAGCTAATATGCAGCTTTGTTTACAGTTTTTCTGTCCTGTGCCTCAAAACAGAATGGGTCTTCCCATGCAATCATAGGCTGATCAAGTTATTTCTGTTATTCAGTAGGTCTAGAATTGTTTCTTACCAAATTATGCTGAAGGTGCGTGGTGCTGAAGAGGTGAGACTACATTAGTAATGATCTCRTTTGGAAATGCAAAATGAAGGAGAAACATATCTACATGTATTAAGCAAATGAAAAATTATTTTTTGTGGCTCTTTAGTGAATTAAGATGAACAGTTAGACTTTGCTTTCAAATACAAAATGGAGCATTGTCATAAAATATTAATAATACCCTGAAATCCTGAGCTGCATAGCAGTTATAGGTATTGCGTCAGTTGTCATAACACCAAGGAACATGTGTTAATGATTCTGAAATTTGAAAGTTTTCACACGTGATACTCAAAACAAAAAATCCCATACTGTTTGTGCAGACATCTGTCRAAGTTATGACTGTGGAGGTCCCGTTTTTATGAAGGTTAATTGATCTTTCTCTAAACAAACTTGTTTTAGCTTTAGGAACTAAAGGATTTTGATACAAAACTAATTCTTGAGGTTTTCTTTGTATATTTACCGTATCAGCATTGCAGTTGGTTACATTTCAGAGATGAATTTTCTGCCTCAGTAGGGAAATTAAGGTTTTCTGGAGGATCCATATAGACTGAATCTTACAGGACTTAAAAAAAAAAAAAAAAAAAAAAAAAAAAACAAGCAACCTCATGTCTCAGAATGCTTCTACGCTGGTAACCAAAAGGTTGAATTTCAGGAATAGGCCTAGATTTAAATATTGGTGGTAAATGACAACAGGAAATAGAGGGGGGAAAATCAGGCTTGTTTATTCTTTTTGGTGTTTCTTCTAAAGCGTTTTCTTAACCAAACTTTAAGAGAACCTGTAATTTGCCTCTTTACTCTTTTTATATTATGCAGAGAAGGCCAAGCCATTATTTTTGTCATTGATAGCAGTGACAAATTAAGAATGGTTGTGGCCAAAGAAGAGCTTGACACCCTTCTGAATCATCCAGGTGAGGAGGCTTTTTTTTCCCCCCTTCTCTCTCCATATTTGTTATATTGTTTTAAGAAAAAAAACCTTATTTGGCACATTCTTCATGCTACATAGTTTACAAATATTTTAGCCATTCATGAATACCAGACTTGACTATTATTCACACCTGTTCAGATTTAGACTTGGATTGTGTGTCAGTGAATTATGAGTTGGATTGGTCTCTAATCTCTGTAGACCAAAATTTGTGTTGTTTTGAGGCAAAATAAATTTGGAGACTTACAGAAATTGGAGTGCTTGTATGCAGACACTAACAAATATCACAAATTTTGAAAATAATTGTTAATTTCTCTAAAATTTTAGGGTTTTTTTCATTGTCATTATTAGGCTTTTGAAGTGTGGGGGCCTTTCTTTGTTTGCTTGTGTTTTGATTACATTGTRGCCAGGTGTAGTGGTGGGTCATCGCACCAATCAGGTCTAGCTGTCTACAGAAGGATGTGGGATAGAAAGGGATGGGAGAGGATTCATGAAGAGAGGCTTGGTTTTCGGGTTTTTTTAATATACTTTTTTTATTAAGTTTTGAAAATTGCTGACTTTGTCCCAATTTCTTCTTCCACGTGGTCAGTATTATTGCAACTAAATTGTGTATTTGTAAGCATTGTGTAACTTTCAAATTGGCGTTTAGCAACTTAGTTTCTCTGCCTAAGCGGTGTCTAAAACTACATGCAGGAAACTTTAAAAGTGAAATCTTGCTGTAATGTCTCTTATTTCTTACACTTGTATATGCTTACTTTCTGGGATGAGAAAATGGCGAAAAGGAAAAACTGGCTTGTGTGTCTGTAACAAAGAATAGTAGTGTGCGATATGGGCAATTAGGAGCCTATGCTTTTATTTTCCATGCACATCACRTAATACATGAGTTCATTCCAGAGATGCTGTAGATAGCTCTGTGTGTGTGCTGACTGGGCCCTCTTTATKTCATGTTCAAAGTTTTGGGCCAGTTCAAATGCAGGCAGAAAACAAGACAGTTAGGCAAAAAAAAACCCAAAGAGTAGTGTAAGGTGAGCCAAAGGCTGCAGATAGATTACCCGCAGGCCAGTGAACTTTGGAACAAGGCAGGAATCAACCATGTTGGTGAAAAGGCAATTCTTCTGCTAAAATGGAAGCCACATTAAGTGAAATCTTTCATAGTAAGGAACTAATTTATTATAGGGCAATAGGTGAAGATGTTAAAGATGCTGAGATGCACACTTACAGGGGTTTTCTTTGTTGTTGTTTAGATATTAATAGCTTATAAATGATGATTTCATAAGACAGGGCCCTTCTGTTTCTGAAACARTAGTGTCATCTAGTTCTGAAAAACCATGGTAGTGGCCACCTAGCAAGTTCCTTGCAGTCAGGAAAGGGCAATTTTGGATTTTTGCTGTGGGATAGCCCAGCAGAAATGCAGCTATAGYGCTCCTGTTGCATCATTTTGGATTTTAATAGGTCTTAACGCTAGATCCAAAGACAGTGAAGAATCTTCTGGTAGTGCTTGATTACAGTAGATATTAACAAAGTCTACAGATATTTTACAAGTTCAGCAATACTTTTATTTTTCATTACTGTTCTACCTTTCCCTCACACGGCCTGGTTATCCCCCGTGTATATTTCTACCTTTGCGAGCTTCCTGGAGTGGTTAAATGTGTGTGTTTACTTAAGAAGAGCTTGAATTTAATTGAATGGTGGTTAGCAGCCTTGAGTCAATCCCTGGATTTGAAAGTCTTAGCAATCTGCCAGTAAAATAGAAAATTTCATCAGTTTTTGCTAGATTTTGCAGGGAGTGGTCAGGTGAGAGGGAGTGATCAAAATGTAATTTGATGTACTGCATTAGTAGTGTTAGAGGTTATGCTAGCTGGGGCTGCTTTATAAATCAGAGCTGTAAATTATTTGTTTAAATGGAAAACATTCTACAAATAATTGATTTTATAATGATCTCTTATCATTTTAATTGAAAAGGAAAAGAAAATAGTTTCAGGTAGGGAAGAAAGTTGAAAAAATCGTTAGCCTTTTGGTAAGCACTCATGACCGCTGAGTATAGGTTCTTGTGGTGTTATCTTCACCTATTATGTGGGAAGTTTGAGTAGAGGGAGTTGAAAAGGTCCTAGCTTTTTTTCCTGTATGAAATAACTTCTTCAGGGACTTGTTTGTCAATTGAGTTTGCTTGTTCTTTAATTTTACTATTTTAAGAGTCTGTAGGTTAGTTTGTCATCACATGTTTTTTTAATTTATTTTGCTATGAAGATTGAGAAACTCAGATTTAATTTGATCCTGTAGTTCACCTTTTATTTTTATCACATGAAAAATGCTCACAGGTTTGATGAAGTGTCTTGTATAAGTGTGTTCTTTTAAATGCATCTGTGTAGTCCCTTAAAACTAGGTTGGGGAGAGTTTGCTTTGTGTCCTTCCAGGGACTCTTGAGTCTTACTGTAGTAATCAGAGAGCCTTATGCCTTTCCTGGGTTTCCAGGGATGGTCTGTTTAGTTTATTCAGACATCTCCAAGCATGTTAACTCTTGTATGTGTAAGTATGCCAGGAATTAACAGTCATCCAAGGTCTTTGGTTTGATCGGTGCTTCCTGCCTGTAGCTGAGAAGAGCTTCTGGAAAAGAAGCCATTGTTTGAATGAAGGTGGGGTAAGGTTTGTGGGTTTTGTTTTTGTTCCGTTTTGGTTTTAATTCTATGAACTTTAAAAAAAAGGGACACTGCCCAATATACTAAAGGATAATTTGGACTGTCCTAATGCAAAACTCTTGCACAGGTATGAATAAACACATATTGCTCTTCTGTCCATTTTAAACTGTCCATTCATCACTAAACAGTTATGGGTAATATTTTTAGGTAGTTGTTTGATCTCCTTTTCCCTAACTTGACCAGAAATTTACACTGTGTGTGTATGTAACACATGGTGTAAATATATGCATATACACRCAAACRTGTAATATATATAAATATATATGTGGTGGGTGGTTGGAGAGAGGGCTTGGAAGGTTCAAAGACGTGCCAGAAGTTTTGGGAGCATTCTTGAAGTTTTCATCAGAGGCCACGAGACCCCACAGTGTGCATCTTGTTAGGATACAGCCCTCCAAGAATTGCAATTACAGGTGAGCAAAATATCCTCTTTTACTGTTGACAGTTTTATTACTTGCAGAGATCAAGTGTTGCAACATGTTATGGTAGTTCTACTTCTGCTTATGCCTAGATATTAAGCACCGTCGACTGCCTATTCTGTTCTTTGCTAACAAGATGGACCTCAGGGATGCAATATCATCTGTGAAAGTTTCTCAGTTATTGTCATTAGAAAACATCAAAGACAAACCCTGGCATATCTGGTAAATTGCTGCTTCTACCCTTTTACTGCTTTTAGTGTGTAGATTTGCACTCTCATGCACTCAGTATTATATAGCATTAATGAAATTAGCCAGTTCAGGGGCTGTATTTGTGGAAACAGTAGTAACATTACAGCACTTTCTAGAAATGTGTTTTAAAAGAACAGTGCAGTATAGGACTGAACTGGAAAAAAAATCCAAAGAAAACTCTAATCCACATAATGCAATGGAGGACTTATCATGAAGTCCAGAATCATTATCACGATTGGAACAACAGTTGCCGTTATTATTGCTGGGAAAGTGAGCAGAACAGGTACCAGAGTGTTGCTGTTAGAACTGCAGGATTCAGAATGCCCATGGTAAAACCTATTTGAATTGTTTTCTTCCACTCTTCAAACACCCTAGTAAAACCCATAGGGATGAAAGGCCACCTGGTAAACTGTTCCTGTGTAATTCACTTGGACAGTATTGTTGTACTTAATATTTTAGTGTTGTTGTTGTTTTTTAGTTTTAAGAACAAGTTGGAGGGCTTTTTTTTTTTTTTTTTTTTTTTTTTTTTTTTTTGTATGTGTTATAGAATTTAGATTTCGGTTAAAATGTTCAGTTATTGTAACTATAAGGGAAATATCAGCAACTAAATGCTGCTAAAACCTTAGATTTTCTTATTGAACTGGATTATTCCCTCTTCTCCGTGTAGTCTCGTRTTGATACCTGTTGACAGAGTTCATTGGCAGATGTGAGGGTGAAGTACACACTGCGCCTTTCTCCTCCCACATTCCARCAGCCCCTCTGTGTAAGAGCTGGGTAGGAAGAGAGACGGTTTCATCACTGTTGCTGTGGGTAATGGAAAGCTCCCTTATWGCCTTGTCTGCAGGTGTTACCTCAGCACACCTGCAGTGGAACAGGCTCTCTTAGGTAGGAGCTCTTCTGGAGCCCCTCAGCTACTTTTAGAAATGTTTTCCCTACCTTGAAGCAAGAGTGGTTACTCAAAAATAGAACAGATTACATGTTGGAATGATGCTCCTRTGTTGGGGAGGTGCATTGAATATGTAATTAGAAAAGCTGCTTCTCCATGTAAAGAAAATATTAGTAAACTGCACCTGATGATACATTTCAATTCTGTGAATTACAGGGTGGGTGGGTGTGTATATATAAAGAATCCACTAAAACTTGTTTGTTTGCAGTGTTTTCTGAAGTTATTTCATTGTTTCTTTTAGTGCCAGTGATGCTCTCAAAGGAGAAGGATTACAAGAAGGTGTGGATTGGCTCCAAGGTATATCCCGCTTTTTCTTCCTATATTTTAATGTCATTATTAACATCATAATCTCCCATTTTGTAAGTTTTTGTTCTTTATTACTTCCTTTGTTTTCTTTCTGTCCACTTGTGCTATCAGATCAAATCACACAGTGAGTACTTMTGCTATATCTGATACTTGTCTTTGATTTGCCTCCCAAACATACACAGCAGAAAGATCATGTCAGTTGCTCTGGCAAGAGTGTGGAGGGTAACGCTTATTCTTGGGAGCAACGCAACGCTGCTTCTTACAGACAGTATTAATACAAGCTGCTCATGAGCTTCAGATTATTCTTGTGGTCGTTCAGGCTGTTCTGAGATTACTCTTACTGTCTTGTTTCAGTTTTGCTTATATAATGTTAAGCATCTTGAAATGCCGAATAAGCAGGCTGGAAAAACAGCAAGGGATGTGGGGATAATCATACAATTTTTCATCTCCAGTTTTTAATCTAGAGCCAAAATAAGAACAAGTCACTTCATATGCGTTTTAGCATATGCAGTTATTCATAACTAATTAAAAACAATCAGACCTGGATTAGATCATATGTTAGGTACACTTTTTCTAATCACAAACTTGGTATTGATGCTGTGTACTACAGTATGTTGTATTGATCCAGACTTGGTCTCTCTTGTCCTCCCAGGCCCTGCTAGATATATAGAATAGTGAAGTGTGATGTTTTGGTAGACCTCCCTTAATTCTAGCTTATCCCGTCTAATGTATGTAGCTTAAATGGTGTGTGTGTGAGGCGGCGCAGAGTGCTTTGAGGCTGAGCCCAGTGTGGAAGGCAGTTTCCGCGGCCTCGGGGCGTGCTGCTGTGCTGCGGCCGCCAGATGTCAGTGCTGCTCCGGAGTGAGAGCGGCGCAGTGCCGCTTTCCTGCTRATGGCAGTGAAGGGCACCCAGCGTCCTTCAAGGCTGACACTGCCTCCGCCTACCGGGGACTCTCCATTCTACGTAGGGGCCTTCCTGCTAATTAGAAAGAGAGCTTATTGCTGTATCGCACAATASCAAATTGCTTAGTTGTGCGTTCAGAGCAAGGAGAACTAGCAAAGAATTGGTATTTACGGAGTGGTCTACATCCTCACAGAAGGAAAGGTGTATCCTCCACGATGTAGAACCTTTCCATGATGGAAAACAGAAAGCTTACTACCAAGCTTTCTTCCTTTCTGAATCCTATCTCAGAAGGCAGATTTCCAGGAATCTTCTGAAGTGCTTTCAGTCCAAATTTGGAATCTTATATTTGTACATTACAAATATAACATTTGTTATATTTGTACATAGTTTCAAGCTAGTCAAAAGATCTCAAATGATTGTCCAAATATTTTGTCAGAAAATATTTGATTAAGCTGTTAATGTATATTTTTTCAAGTATCACTACCCAGCTCTGCTCTTATTCATTTGTAAAATTGTAGCTGTTTGCTTTCTGAACTAAAATAATTCCTGCATGAGTTTTATCTGAGCAAGTTCCTTTGAACTCCCTTACAGAAAGTTTAGGGGATTGGGTTTAAGCTGGATTGTTGCTTAAGCTTATACAGTTTGGCAGTTATATGTTTAATGGACTGAGCTCTTGAGTGTGGAGGGGGTTTGTTTGTTTGCTCTTCTGCATTTCAAGAGTGAATTTCTACTGCCATTTTCCTGGCATGCCATTTCCTGCCCTTTTTTCTAAGAGTACTGTGGGGATGGGGATTTGGAAACCACAGCCCTAAGTTCCATCACTCCCTAAATTACACTGGGGGTGTCGAATGCTTCTGTGGAGGAGCAGTCACCTGTTTTAATGAATGTACTCTCCTTATCAGTAGTCRTGCTTTTATTAGGTACTTTTCTCATACCCCTGTATAGATAGTCGTTTAATTTTTTTTGGAGAGGAAATGTGATGTTGTCTTCTCTCTTTAGCAAATACTGAATATAGCAGTCTGCTGCTTTCCACATTTTGTGCTAGGGATGCAGTATATTTATGCTAGATAAGGATGTGTTGGAAGCTTAATTTAGAAGCAGCAATCAGGCAACAATATGGAGAAATGTGGTTATTGAGAGCAAGGATGTTCTCGTGAATTATGCAGGAGCAAAATTTAAATCCTTTAGAATTCATAGCTGTTGAGGAGCTTAGTTCTTGTTTAGTTGCTTGGACGCTGAAATGTGTCTGCTGAAATGCCTAAAAAAGGCGAAAATGGAATTCTGATGAAAATTGTTGCTTTTTCATTAGCAGCTTGGGGGAAATTTACTTGACTATGGAGGAGGTTCAAAAGTAGATGAAAGAACAAGTTGGAAATAGAGCTGCATTGTCCACTTTTATTAATTCATATAATTCTGTAACCTCAATATAGTGGCTTATATTTTCAAATATTTAAATATAGCAAGAATTCATCTTCCTTGTTTTTAAGAGTAACTCTTTCTTTTTATTACCAGATCAGATTCAAGCAATGAAGACATGAGAGGTCAATAAAACATGTATGCCACTGTCTTATAAACATTGTCAGTAAATGTATAGACCTCTTGTAAAGGAGGAAAGATTTAATGAAAAACAAAGAATTCACCGAAATATTCTGTATTCTTTTGTTCTCTTTTAGTATCTCAAAGTAACTGAACCTTTTAGTAAGCGTAGCACCTTAGGTGTGCACATCCGTGCATTAAACTGAATCTTTTGACTGGAGAGCATATTTAAAACAACAACAACAAAAACTCTTTGTGTTAACAGTAAGCATCTGCAATCATTTGAGCTTTAGGTGATAATTATGTCTTCTAGATAACCTATATATATAGATTATCTATATATTTGTGATACGTGATACATCTTTTGGAAATAAGAATATTAACTTTTCCAGAGGGTGAACTTTCCACTTTCTGGAATAAGCCTTCATGAAGTACCTAAAAGTGAGCACCTAAAATCAGCAAGTACTTCTGGAATTTTTTACCATGTATTTTAAGGTAGGGTTTTTTAGTAACCATCTAATGTACTATAAAAATATTTTGAATGAAGATACAATGATTAAATATGAAATGTATTTGTTTTAAATGATTGCAGATGTTTTTAAGGAATTGCTTAAAATGAAATGTTTTGAATTGTTCGTGATGTGTCACAATAATATTTACATTCCTGTCAATAAAACCTTACATTAAAAACATGAGKTGCACATTTGAATATGTTCGGTGATGGTCTTGCTGTCATAGAAATTTTTGCATTTCAGCAAGTTTCATTTGGAATTTAGTTGGACATCTTCCACTGGAAATAGAATTCTGTACTTTTATAAAACCTCTTGCCTCAAGCTTTGCTTGAACTGCGTATATTTGTTGCACTCTCTGATAAGGTGGACTGCTATTCCAGGTATTTAGAGAAAATGCACTTGTAAATTCTGGTTTGGGAACACAGCTAAGGGACAGTTCACTAGGCCAATAGTATAAAACATTTCTAATACTTCTGTTGTGTATGAAAACTATTCTACTTGAATAGTAGATTCTAGTCTAAGAATGATTTTCAGTAAACTTTGTCTTCAAAGATGCACTCTAGGTAACAAATTAAGTGATTGCCTAGAAATTTATTACTGTAATGCCACCTCTTCTCCTTTTTTCCCTCTCTTCTCTTGTCCAAAAGAACAAGAAATCCAGCACTTGGAATGATGGAGACTATTTAGCTGACTGACTGCTCCCTGTGGGAGATGTAGCGTTTTAGTCTGGAAAATGTTTTTTTTTCTCTCCCTCACGAACCTACAAAACCTATAACCTATATGCAAAACCTGCTCTATAAGGCTGCCTGCTGTGCCTCACTGCACAGAGGAAAGCTTAGAGCAGAGAACTGCTTGAGAAGGAGGAACAGTTTCGATGTGYTTTCAGTTAAATCACTGCAGAACTGCTAAAATTCTCTCTCCCTCTTTGCCAGTCCAAACTGAGTCTTACTGTAAGGTCTTTCTTATAGGATGCCGTTCATCATGAAAATATTAATGCTTTAAGACCCTTTCCATGTTATCTCTGGCCTTCTTCTCAATTCAGAATTTTAAAATGTGTGCAAAAAGAAATACAATTCTGATTTTGAGTGCTTCTTTTCTGTGAATTCTGTGGCAGATGACGTTCCGATTTATTTTGCACTGGACAATATATTGACAAAAATAATACTTGTTAGAAACATAGTTTGCTGAGTATAAATATTTTGTAAATGTTTTGGTTCCCTTAAATATGAGTGACATATTTAATTTGAAGTGGGCATTATTTTTTCTACCAAAGCAAATATTTAAGTTCTTATATAAAAGATCTAGCTACTCYGACTGTTTCTGACTTTCTTCAATAAAGATGTTTGTGAATTTGGATCTTTATTGTGTCCTGATTATTTTTACCAAGCCAGACCAAACTGTTTATCTTTTGGACTTTCATTCYTGTCATGGGACCCTGTGTGACCCTCCTGCTTTGTTTTTCTCCCACTCGCAATACTGGGGCAAGTATCCTGTTCCCATTTACTTTTTGCTTCCCAATGCAATTAGTGAGGCCTTTGAATACAGCAGTTAGTTTCTTGAGTTGATTGTTTCTTTATTTCCTCAACAGCTCTTCTTTTTCRTCATGTACTTCCAGGGGACTGTGTTGAATGGAGAGCTTTTTGAAAGAGGGAAAATGGGGGTATTCTGTCATGAAATGTTTGGGATGTGGGGCTTTGGTTTTGTTTTTCCTCTTCTGCTTCCATGATTTCTTGGCTCTTCCAGAACATTTGTGACTGTTTTGTGGAGCAGATGTTTGTGTGCATGGGAGGGCACTGCTGCCTGTTCACGCTTTCTCTCTCCACCTTGTCCAGGTGAAATTCCATGGCCTGCATGGTTGATACAGCCTTGAGCTGCTGTAATGACACCGAGCTTGGTACTAGAATCAGGTATTGCACAAAGGTTTCATGCATCTGTGCAACATCGGGGCAGTAGTGCTGCTTTAGAGTTGTTTTCTGAAAACCCACGGGCTGTCCGTATTTAAAACTGTTGCCCTAGGAAATGTAATTTTTAAAATCACTACAACAGTGAAATCTGAGATCTGCCTGGAAACTTGAGTCGTTTGCACTGATGCTGTAATAATAATCAAAACAAAACAAAAAAACATCCCTTGGAAGTTTAAATGCTGTTCACACAGTGATCCATAGGTTTGGGAAGAGAAGTGCCTGGCCTGCTACTGTGCTTTTAAGTGTGAATTTAAAAGGCCTAAAGTTGACTAAAGTGTCTCTTGAAGATGGGCTGGTCTCAGCAATCCCCACAGTGTTATGTTCTGTTGCTCCTGTTTTCATTAAGCAAGGTGCTCTTTAAGTATTTATGATAAATTTCCTTAAAATATACCTGATAATACATAAGACTATAGTATTTTCAGTTGAAGCTTGTGCTTCAACTGAAGCATAGGGCTTCATACTCCTGTGTGTGAAGTCCTGCCTTCTRCAGCTCTCTGAAGTGGCGGCTCTGAGGTAAACACAGCACTCGAAGTTCACCGTAGCCGTGGCCCTCTGCTTGTGAGGCTGCTGGGCCCCGGGAACCCGCGTGCTTGCTCTGCAGCCGCTCGCGGGGACGCGGCCAGTTTGCATGGCCCGAAGCCTCGTGGGCAACGTTCTGTCGAGCAGGCACCATTATAAGCATGTCTGCATGTAAATATAATGGAGCCTTGTTCTAACCTCAGCCGCCCCCCTATAATAGAGTTGCTGCTTTCTGTTTACTAATAGGGGAGATAAGCTGCGCTGGAAGACTAGGCAGAACAAAGGGGTTGTGGCGCTGCTCGGTCGTCGGCAGGAAGTCCTTCTGATGCAATGGCATTTGGAATGGTAGCGTTGCCTTTCGGGGCTGCCTTAACAAGGGGCTGGCTGTGCAAGGATCTTATCACTGATCTTAAACAACAGCGCATCCTGTAGAAACTGYAGTTGTGAAATAACCTTTCGTTAGTCATAAGAAAGGAATCGAAATAATGCTGATATAACATGTCCTTAAAAGCAAAAAAAGCAAACTTATATCAAGAAATGCAACACAATCAAAACAGAAGCGGAACTTGCTTGAGAAATCTTCACTCTCCTTATGATTTTTTTACTGTCTYTTTATTTCTTTAAATCTTTTTGGCCTGCTTTATTTCTCTTTTAGGGAGAATCCTTAGAAACCTGCATCCCAAACTTTCTGGTCCATTCCTTTTAATGTTTGTGAGACACGGCACCTGCTCTCCTCACTTTATTTTATTAAACAAATGCTATCACTGTCACTATGCTAGTGAAACTCAGCAGCTCTTGTCCKTGTTGCTTGTTTAGAGATATAGTACAGGTGATGAAAGACTTGCAGGAGGTTGGAATGAAAAAGCAATGAGGGCACTGCAGAGAAAAGGCCTCAATGCTCTTCTTTCACAAAGGTCAGGAAAAATTGCTTGGAAAGGTTAACTTAATCAGTTGTGTTTACTGCTTTACTTTTCTAAGATAGTATGAGTCACTCCCACTACCCTTGTTCAAATGCAGTCATTTAAAAGAAAACTACACTTTTTTGTTTGTTTGTTTGTTTCCTGTCGTGAAATGGCATTATGTTTTGCCTATTTCTTATCACAAGATGAAGTTATTCATATTCAAATTGTATTACTCAAGGGAATGCAAATTTCTATCTGATGCAGTGGACATCTATCCAGACCAGGTTAACTTGTTTAGCAATGGAAGTGTACATTTAGAAATTCAATGTTAGGCACTTTTTTTAAGTGTTTTTGGAGACCAATAAGTAGATTCAAGACCTAGTGAAATAGTTACTGGACCAAATTTAGTTTACTGCTGAGTTGTCTAACTGCTCTTAGTAAAGACGGAAAAGACTGTGAAAAGGATAGAAGAAATCAGGGAATGAAGAATTGGGATATGCAGGAGTTCTGTGGAAGAGCTTTGTTTGGACTGAAGTACGGTTGTGCTAATGCTAAAGCGTATTAATGAAGGGCAGTCTTCTTGAGGCTCAGTGAAGCAGCCGTGATGCACGGTTGAAGTGGAGGCTTGGCAGTACAGGTGCCTTAGGAAGGAGCGCAGCCCCATCCGACTGAGAATCCATCGTCSCTGGGATGTCCATTTCTGAAGAGGTTTCCTCAGCCTGGCCCTTCTCTGACCTTCCAGGCTGGGTGCCTCTTAGTTGTTGGAGCATGTCAGGAGCAGCTCGAGTCTTCTAGTTTAGTCTCAGGCACAGAAAAATAATTTTTTTTAACTCTGCACTAGTTTTGCCGTGTAAGCAAAAGTAATGGGAGATGATCAGGACCTTTAGAGCTCCTTCCACACTTGAACTAGTGCAGATGTGCCTTTACAGATGTAAATGTTACAAGGGAATTGATGCCACCTTTTTTTAAAAGTGAATGTGAGAATCATTTAAGGGAATATAAGAGCTCAGCAAGATGTTTCCGTATGCCAAGATSACCTACTAGTAATTCCAGCAGCAATGTCTTCTTGTGGTCCAGTCAGAACTGGGAATGTTTATTCTATTTGTGAAAGATGTAACCCTGACATAAGGATTAAGTAGGAGCACTTCCAGTTTAGAGGAAATGCTGTAATGGAGTTCTTGAAAATTAAGACAGTCATGAGTGAAGAAAACTTACTGGCTGTCAAGCACTGCTGCTATTCCTGGCATTGTATGCATTAATAATCCCACTGGTTTGAAGGCATTATTTGGGTAAAGCTTTGGATCGCATTCCCTTGGCTTAAAATCTCACTGCGTGTCTCTCTGTCTTGTTGACCAAAGTTTATTCACCCAAGCCAAGCACAGAAAAACACCAGCTGATGTAACGAGCAACAAAGGGATTAAATGAACCACAATGTGTATTTGTTGGTTTTTGTTGCTAACAGTATTCCAAGAGCTCATTCTTGACTTATTGGAAAGTGAATGGATTACCTAAAAGCAACTTGGTASTTACGTTGTTTTGTTGGTTGAGATGACTGAGAAGTTGTAGAGGGTGTCCTCTCGAGAACAGAACGATTCTGCTAGGACAAGTGATGCTTGTCTCTTGTAAAGCTTCTTTCAGTTTTTAAGGGATCGCATACATCTCATGATGTCATTCTGCTTTTACCCTATGGATAAATACCCATTTTCAAAAGTCCTCTGCTGATGATTAAATGTAAGTTAATGCTATAAGAGCTTTTTGGAAGCAGTWCCAAAGACAACTGTGGTTTCATCTATCGAGCAATCCAGGTAGTGTTTAATAGTATCAATGTGCATTACAATTAAGCTTTGAGCTTTAATGTAACATTTAACTGCCCCATTAAAAGATTTAGAGAATAAATTTTCTCTTGGAAAACAATTGTGTAATGCCCACAGGCCTTGTGAAAGGCCTGTACGTAGGCTACTCTTCATATTGCATTATACTTTCTGGAAATTAAAACGTGTATCCAGAGCTGATTTGCTTATTTTGTGGGAATATTCTTGAGCATCCSTATCTCCTTACCACTAACTCTTGAACATCCACTTCAAAACATGCTTAAGTACTTACTTTGCCATTTATATTTTCAAAGMAGACTAAGAAATTTCTGTCACAGGTTGTCCAGGTTGCCCCTCTGCTCTTGAGATGTCTGTTCTGTCATCCAGACATGCAATAATCAAGTGGTTTGTGCAGGACTCGGAATATCTACACGCTTTCTTCAAGTTTGTAGCAATACATAAAAGTTAAATGCATGACGGCTGAGCTGATGTTGCATTACAGTAAATACAAGCATGTCATTTCTTAATATAAAGTCTGTAGTTTTGTTCAGAGGATGGATTTAATAAGGAGATAATRTGAACCTTTAATTTTAGCAGTAGCACACTCTAAGCAAAATTGGTAAGACCTGCTATACTTTTACTACTTAGGATCTACAGTAAGTGCTTCCTATGAAATGACACTATAGTGAAACTCTTTAAGTCTTATGACTCATGTTTTATTGGACTAAAGGTGTATATTATAGCTAATATTTCAAAAGGAGAACACCATCAGGATAAAAGACTGAAGTTTAGGTTCCTGGGCTGCATTTCTATATGATGGTTTTCTAGAACCATCTGATTTTTCTGATTTTTGTCTGGAAAGTATTTTCCCTTTCTCGGAGCTGAGGACCAGTGAAACCTTGGGTGGGCCAGTTACTTTTGCAGTCCATAGTMTTAAATCATGCATAACGGGGTGTTCATTTTTTTAGTGGTGAAAAATGGCTGTGTACTGCCAAATCAATATTTAATGGAGATGAGGAAGGAAATCTTATGTTTCTTCATTTGCATATTTTTTTAAATCATTCCTATTGTTTTGTAAATCCCTTCYCAACCAGCAGATGGATTATTCAGAACTTTTGCTCTTGGATATTAAGATAAATCCTCTTTCCTTTGCTAACATTTTACCGTGTTGAGCTTAACAAAAACAAAAAAACCCAACCAAACAGAAATCTGCTGTACACAGGCYTAAAATGGTGCAAGTGGAGTAAGCTTTATGAAATTAGTGTTTTTTTGAACACTAARATTATATAGATTTATACAGGGTATATTCCTTCCATTTAAGTACACATCCAATATTCAAATGGCATTTTATGAAGAGAATTGCTAAAATTGCTAAATGAACAACAGCATAGAACTGCTGGTTAGGTTTCATGGATTTCTTTATTTCCTTGCAAGATACCTGTTTTTCAAAGACACTTCCATTCTTTTGGACGATTTGTTCTTTTCCATGTATGTTAGCGACTGGAGGAAGATAACGTACTGAAGAACTCTGTTTAACCAGTGTTTTTCTGGGTAGGTCAGTGATGGTGCCAAGCGACACTGATGTGGTCAAGAAGCATAACCCAGACTAGGGTGGTGACCAAATAGCACTACAAAATAAAACCTTTATATATTTTTTGCCCTTTGCCCAGGTGAGGGTGAAGTAGAGTGTGGACCACGTCTACTTCTGCAGATGCTGTCTTGGCTGTTTCTTTTGCTCTGTTTGTTTGTTTAGTTTTTGCTCTTGATCAATTTTTATTTTGTTCTTTCCAAGYCATTTACCCTTTTAGCCCTGCTGCACTGGGTAAACGTAGACATCATAAGTGATAGGCTGGAAAATAAATAGGAGAGCGTTCCAGAGGGATGATTTAAACATTGTAATTAGCACAGTGAACCTTGGCCGTAGGTGGCACAGTGTTTAAGTCTTACCCGAAATAATAACTAATAGCGTTGGGGCTCTCTGTGGCTCCAGTGAATAGCAGGAGCCGTTTCCAGCTGTCTTCTCCAGGCGCGGAGGCATCTGAGCAGTGGCAGCTGCCCATGTGTCTCCCCTCTGAGGCACTCGGGGCAGAGGGAACAGAGGAGCAGTGTGTTAAAGGACACGGAGGATGGCTGGGAAGCGGCGCAGCGCCGGCTCGGCAGCAAAGGTCGCAGCTAGATCCAAGTTAAATCCTCAAAATCCTTGCCAACGTACTTCGTCTGAGGAATAATGTATAGCCAAGACAGAGCTGCAGTTCTGCTGCGTGCCTTCGTTTCAGAATAAGTGCGGAGTGGAAAATGTAGCATCACCAGTATTTCTTCTCGGCATCTGGGAAATGGAAACTGTCAAAAATGGCTAAGAGATATTATATATGATGACTCCTTAATTGTTTCTTAATTCATGGTCTCATGCTGCCTACTAGAAACCTTGTCATAAAATGCACTAGAAAGGAAAAAGGTAAGTAAAGGACCGCCCGTTATTAAAAAGCTACTTACGCTTGCGACATTTTTATTTCTGGGTATGTTTTGGAAGAGCCTGGAAAATGGGGTTGCTTATTAAGTAAGAAAAAGTACCAGGATAAAATAGTTTCATTGATAAATACATTGTACCWTGAATCTTGAGACTATTTTTTATTGTAACAGCCCAACAAAGCAAGCAATTCGGCCATGTTTTTATCATTTAATAGCTGTGCTAACATGCTTACAGGAAAAAAGTGTTTAGCTTTGTGGTTTTAAGGCTACGTTTTTCCCTGGCTATCTCTGCAAGGTATTAGGAAAAAATCCAAGTCTGCGTGTGACTCTTTATACACAGTGTGAGGAAAACTTGCTTTCCATTTTCGTATCCAAACAAAAGAAGACTTGACTAAACATTTTAAAGACCCATAAATGGGAGGAAATTCAGAGAGCACATTTAGAATTTCACCATCTGCTCCCTCTAATGCAGCCAGGGGAAGGGGGAGGTTTCCCTTGAGCACAACCATTATAATCTGAATTGCAGTAGGAAATGACAGGATCTGGAATGGGCATAGCGCACTCCTCTCTTTCCTTCGACATAATGACTCAAGTGAACCTCTGGGCAGGACGAACCACGACAAGACACATAGATAGAGAGCTCAGAAGAGCCAAGGTTTGGCATTTTCCGCCCCCGTACCTCTGTTTCGCTCCGCAACTGTGTGCTAATGGATTCCCTCTGCCCGGGGCAGCGCRGCGCTGCCTCGTGTGCGCCACATCTGAGCCCTGGAATCGGAGGCGGCCACCGCGGAGCCCCCATGTGCTCTGGCCCCTTGGTGCTGGCAGCTGCGTCGCCGCGCTCCCACCTGCCGCCGGGAACGCGCTGCATCCCCGGCTGCATCCCCGGCACGGGCCTCGCTTCCCGGCTTCCTCGCTGCGCACGTGGCTGGAACGGGGCTCCCCTTGGCACAGCGGCCAGCATTTCCCCTCCTAACTAACGTTTGAGACGTCTACTTGATTTCACCCCATGCAAGGCGGTACCCAGGGTGTATCTGCTGGATGCACACAAAGRTGTAGATTGTGTAGCCCGCTCCATGTTTGTCTTTTACACAGACGTGCTCTACTTATTCTGATCAGAATTTGCTTATGTGCTTCTAGAATTGTGATTCAGTGTAACGTTTCTGGGTTTTTTTCTTTTTTTTTTCCCCTTTTTTCCCCCCCATTTTTTTTCTTTTCATTCTCCTTTTGAGACCATGAAGAAAGGAGAAATAGATTTGAACACCCAATGTTACTGTCTGGGATTAGCATTTCTGATCAGGTTGGTGCTTTGTTCTCAGACAAGCCCTGTGGCACCCCCCCTGGGCATAGGGACAGGGATTTGGGATTTCGGATGGAGCCAGGTGTTTGGGCTGCCTGTGTCTCTGTGCGCAAACCACTTACCTTACTGCACTTAACTCCATCCTGAGGTGGTTGTGTGGATTAATTGATGCTTAAGTCCTTTGAAGATACCGGATGCTTTATAAATGCTAATTACTATATTCAGGTTTGCTACAGCTCAGGGATTAGATCTTACTTAGGCAATAAGTAGGGAAGCTGAGAGATATATGTGGTAAAGAATTAAAAGTAATCAACAGTCACTGAGAGCCTGCGTCTCGTTGCAGCCTGTTTGTGCAGTTCCATTTAATTGCTTTTAATAAATCGCCACTCTTCTAATTTGGTTTTGGAGCCTTAATTACTTCTACTTTGAACGTAAGAGGGGAGCGCTCTAAGGGTCTGTAGGAACTGCTGTTGTATTTTGTGATCGTAACTGGTTGATTGTTGCTCCCCTAAGAGGAGGCAACTACGTCGGTATCCTCAAAATGTGTTGAGGTTTTTGTTTGTTTTGTTTCCTTTTTATTTATTTTTTTTCCTCTAAACTGGTCTGGCTTGAAACAGGTTGCAGGTTTGTGCTGGCTTGGGGCGTTCTGTATCCCTGGGAAGGGTGTTTGCTCCGTGTCCRGGTGCTGACAGCCAGGCAGGGCCTCTCCGTGCGGCAGGCGCCGGTTGGAGCCCAGGGCAGGACGCGGGACAGRGGCCTGTTGGGGTGGCTCTGCCGGGGGAAATGCCGGGAGTGGAACAATGGGATAGCCCCCGTTCTGAGCAAGCTGCCCACGTCGGAGGTACGTGTAAGACCTTGAGTAACCAACAGATTTCTGGGCATTTCTTAAAGGCTGCTTTTATCCGAGAGAGCGGAAAGTGGATGGAAAAGTAGCCAGTGCTCTATGTCCAGCCTTTAACTGCTGCCCGTGTGCAGATGGGCCTGGAGTAGCCGTGCTTTGTCCGCGCGGAGCTGCCACCCGGCAGGCGGGAGCTCCTGCAGCCTTGCAGGGAAGGTGAAGAGACCAAAGAGGGCTCTGGAGCTATGGAGAGGGGGAATCAAGGTGGGAAATAAGGAGGAGTCGCCGAGGAAAGCAGAGCTGATGGTCAAGGAAAGGGGTGGTTATTGTTCTGTATTTAAAACCTGGAGCTGCCCCCAGCAGTGCGGGGTGAGCGCCGGGCACAGGAGGGAGCTGCCAGGGTGGGTATTCCCGGGCGCCCGAAGGGGCGGGGGCGCGGGGCGCTCCAGCGCCTCGTGCTGCCTCTTGCCCTTGGGAGCGTCTGCCCTCCTTTCCCGCGGGCTGCCTGCGCGGGAGGAGCCAAGGCGCGCGCCGCTTCCCGCCACGGCGCCGGCACGCGCGGGAGCGAGGCCACGCCCCCGCGGGAGCGAGGCCACGCCCCCCGAAGGAAGGAGGCGGGACGTGCCGCCCTCGCCCTCCCGCCCGCCGAGCGCGCAGCCGGCGGGAAGGGGCGGGGC